GCGCGCGCACCTCGGGGGGCGTGTCTCTTCTCACTCCTGCTGCGGCTGCCCCAGGGGATGCCGGGAGGGCGGGGTGATGCGCCCACGCGTTCAGAACCGGAAGGGGCGGCCGTGCTGGGGCAGGCGGGGCGGGCCAGGTTTGCAAAGCCCCCGGGGTGGGAGGGGTTCTCTGATCCTTTTAATTTCCCTGAATTTTAAGTGCTGAGAAGTCGTGGTCCGTCCCAGTCTCCTTATATTCGGATTCGGAAGATGAGTTGAGCCATTAAAGCTGGGCGTGCCGTCGGAAGCGTTTTCCCTCTAAGCTGAGGTGTTGGCCGGAGAGGAAGCTCCGTGGTGCAGGAGGTGCCGCGGGCATGGGTTCCGGGTCGATCCCCAGCACCGCCTTAAAAAAGTCAAACCAAAGAAACCCGAAAACAAACACGTTGAGATGTTATAAAGTGCAACTTAAAAACATTTAAAAATCACTCGCCTTGGAACGCTCATTGGTATTTGGAACTTTGTAATAATTACTTGCTAAAAATAGCTCAAAGCCTGAAATTTTGGGGTGCTTCAGTTTCTTAGGTTTAGTGATGTACGTCGTAATCCCAGCTATTCCGGAGGCGGAGGCAGTAGGGTGGCAAGTGCAAAGCCAGCCTGGAAAACAACCGGATCCTGTCCCAAAATTTTAAAAATTAATTATTTTTTTTTAAAAAAACTAATTAAAACTAATTTTAAACAAAATGCCCCAATTTAGAGGACTTGTTCGGTGTCACTGTGGGATTCAGGCTGATCTGCAGAGGCTCAGACTTCCAAACTTCAATTGCTGAGGGTGCAGAGGAAAAAAACAATAAACCTTCAATGCCACATTGAAGTGCATTTTGTAGAAAAAGCAATTTGATTTAAATGAATAGTCATGATTCACAATGGACGGTAAACCTGCTTGCACAGCTCCACATGTTAATTTGTTTTCAAGAGCAGTCTTTTTCAAATAATTTCTTACTTTGGAAGTATATGCAGTGCTTCCGAGTCAGAATTACATCATCTGATTTGTGGTTAGTGAGCTTTTGGGGCCTCATTGTGGAGGGTCAAGTTCAACATTTTGTGGAAGTTTTGTTACCACTGTTTACCAGTGACGAGTCCTTGCTTCCCCAATGCTGAAGTATAACACCAGAAAAGCAAGTTTAGAGTGGAAAGTAGAAGCTTTATTAAGGACAGCAGAAAAGACTTCTCCCTGGAGGAAGAAGGGCACCCAAGAGGTGGAATCCATGCAAGGGGGAGGTCTTTCCTTTTTTACAGCTAAGGTTTACTTTCAGCTTTCCCGCATTCCTGTCATTTGCATTTCTGTCCTTTGTTCTGTTATCTTGCAGTGATGAAATGTAGGTGGGAAGGCCCAAAAGGTGAGGGGCACCTGGGCTGAGGAGTAATCTGGGCAGGAAAGGCCTGGGGCCGCTTCTGATCAGCACCTCAGGTTTGCTGGGGAGCTGCTTCATTAACATTTCCTTAGGATAGGCTCTGGGCCTTGGGAACATTAGCATTTCAATTCCCCAAGGGCTACTCTGCTTTCCCGGGCTCTATTCTCAATAATGGCCTCCATTTTATTTATCTTACTCCATGTTAGGCCCGATTTACCTAACTACACTAACTACCTATCTGTAAATCTGGCTTCAGTTTCACTTTCACAATCAACTTTGAGTAATGAAAATTCGGAATGTAATTTTAAAGTAAAATTTTATTCAATATTTTAAAATTCAAGTTTAATTTTAAACTGGTAGATTTTAAAAGCTTATTGTTCTTGGAAAGGTTTATTGCACATAGGGAAAAATACATGACTTAATGAATAAATGGGATTTACTCCACGTTAAAATGGACAAAATCAAAAGTGTTCAGCCTTCTCTACCATCTAGAGCAGGCCCTCTCTGCTTGTCTCCCAGGCTTGCTTTATTGTTGTCTGTATTCTTGATAGCTGCCATTCTGACTGGTGTGAGGTGAGTAGTTTTGATTTGCGTTTCTTTAGTTACTAGAGATGTTGAACATTTTTTCATATATTTGTTGATCAATTATATATCATCTTCTAAGAAGTGTCTGTTCAGCTCCTTAGCCCATTTATTGATTGGGATATGTGTTTTTTTTTTTTGATGTTAAGTTTTTTGAGTTCTTTATATATCCTGGAGATTAGTGCTCTTTCTGATGTGTGGCAAAAATTTGCTCCCAAAATGTAGGCTCTCTGTTCACCTCATTGATTATTTTGCTGAGAAGAAGCTTTTTAGTTTGAGTGCATCCCATTTATTAATTCTTGATTCTACCTTATGCTTTAGGAGTCTTGTTAAGGAAGTCAGGGCCTGATATGACATGATGAAGATTGAGGCCTACTTTTCCTCTATGCGACACGGGGTCTCTGGTCTAATTCTAGGTCCTCGATCCATTTTGAACTCAGTTTTGTGCATGGTCCAAGATGGTGATTTCATCGTTTCTTGGGCCAAGGCCATGGTGACCCCCTGCGCACTGGAGGAAAAGCTTGCCGTGGCGCTAACCAGGGCTGGAGGCTGCCCTCCAACTTGGTGTCCTCCTAAGAAAACGGTTAAAGCTGAGCTGCGCCCTTTGTGGTCCAGCCGATGCTCGGTACCTAGGTACCTGCCAGTTCTAGGTGAAACCCCAGGTGAGTAACTAGGAGTGAGAGGGAGCCCACGGTGCTGTACTCCTCCTCAGGACGCCTTCCGCCTCGGGCGGGGGAAACAATCTACTCATTTTTGTGCTTTCACAAACTCTTATCAGATATGAGTGTATGTTTAATTGAATGACATATTATTTAGTTTTGCTTATTTTTGAGATTTAAAGATATGGAGTTCTGAGACTTCTTTTTCTGTTTCTGAGGCGAGGTCTCACTCTCTTGCCCAGTTTGTCTGGAATTTCTGGGCTCTTTAGGATCTGCATGTCAATTTCTGGACTTGTTCTTTTCACTCTAAGTTATCAACTTAAAAAAAAGAAACAATGGCATTAACCTTTCTTTCTTTTTGGGTGGTGGTGGTGGTGGTACTAGGGATTGAACTCAGGGGTACTCAACCACTGAGCCATATCCTCAGCCCTCTTTATTTGTTTATTTTGAGACAAGGTCATACTAAGTTGCTCATGGCCTTGCTAAGTTGCTGAGGCTGGCCTCAAACTTGTGATCCTCCTGCCTCAGCTTCCCAAGTGGATGGAATTACAGGTGTGAGCCACCCATACCTGGCGACATCCATCTAACATTTTAATATGTATCTGTACTTTATTTATGTGGATGAATAACATTCCAAGGCATGGATGGGGCGTATTTTGTTAGTCTGTTTATTAGCTGATGGACATTTGGGTTTTATGTTTTTGGTTCTTAGGAATGATGATGCTGTGGACTTAACATAAGCCTTTTTTTTTTTTTTTTTTGGTGGTGCTGGGGATTGAACCCAGGGCCGTGTACATGCTAGGCAAGCACTCTAACTGAGCTATTTCCCCAGCCCTTAACTAAGCTTTTGTGCAGTGTTTTCCGCTTTCTGGGGCTTACACCCAGGGTTGGAAGCCTCGGTTCTACTCTTTGTTCAACTTCTTGAGGACTGTTAACTTCCTTTCCAAAGTTGCTACACTGTTTAATATCCCCACCAGGAGCTTTGGAGCGTTCTGATTTCTTGCTGGCACTTGTCATTCTAGGGCATTTTGATTATAGTCCTCTTATTGGTTGTGAGGTGGTATCAACATTGTGATTTTGATTGGCATTTCCCTCCTGACTAATGACGCTGAACATCTCTGCAGGTGCTTATTGTCCAGTTACATATCTTCTTTGGAGAAATGTCTATCCATATTCTTTGCCCATTTAAGAATTAGGTCATTGGTCTTATTGTTGAATTATATATTTAAGATACTAGACCCTTGGTGGATATATGATTTGCAAAGATTTTCTCCCATTTTGTGAATTACCTTTTTACTTGTTTTGTTTCGTTTCTGTCATACTGGGGATCGAATCTAGTGCCAGCGCGTCACGCATGCTTAGGCCAGCACTCCACCACTGAGCCACACCCTCAGCCCTTTTTAAAAAAATATGATTTTGAAACAGGGCTTCGCTAAGTTGCCAAGTCTGCCTTGAACTTGCAATCTTCCTGCTCAGTTTCCCAAGTTGCTGGGATCACAGGCATGCGCCACCACACCCCACTAAGTTCTTCATCTTTGTTAATTTGTTTTCAAGATTGTTCTGATTCTCCTAGGTTCCTCTTATTTCCATCTGAACTTTAGGATCTGCATGTAAATTTCTGCATAAATGTCAGCCAGAAATAGGGATTGCTTTGACTGCAGAGGTCACTCTGGGGACTCTTGCCATCCTAATATTTAGTCTTCCAAGCTAGGCACATAAAGCTTCTTTAATTTCTTTCAAAGGTGTTTTGTGGTTTTTGTTTTATATTTGTTCTGTTAAACTTCCATAAGTATTTTATTCTTTTTGATACCATTATAAATGGAATATTTTTCTTCACTTCCTGATTATTCATTGTTGGCATACAATTGATTTTTCTGCATTGATCTTGTAACAGAGCTGATTTCGTTATCTCTAATGCCTTTTTGTGGATTCCTTAGTATTTTCTATATTCTATATACAAGATCAGGCCACCTGCAAATAGAGACAGTTTTATTTTTTTCCACTATACCTTTTGCTTCTTTTTCTCACCCAATCGTCCTGGCTCAGCCTTCCAGGACAGTGGTGAGAGCAGACATCTGGTCTTGCCTGCTTAAAGATCCATCTCTGTTGTTCATGAGGCTATAGTTAGTTAATTTTCATTGCTATATAACATTTAGTTGTGTGATTGTTCTGCAGTCCTCCATTGACAGGTTATTGAAGCTTTTTGCTCTTACAAACATGAGGCTATGACTATTCCTGTATGTTTTCTGGTACATTATTTAAAATATATTTATTCTCAAGTTCTAGGTGGACACAATATCTTTATGTTACAGTTATGTGGTGCTGAGGATCAAACCCAGTGCCCCATCACACTAGGCAAGCACTCTACCACTGAGCCACAACTCCAGTACATTTTTAAAAAGATTTTTTTTTAGTTGTAGTTGGACACAATACCTTTATTTTATTTATGTATTTTTATGTGGTGCTGAGGATCAAACCCAGCGCCTTGCAAACCCAGTGCTATGTGAGTGCTCTACCGCTGAGCCACAATTCCAGCCATCTTTTGGTATATTTTTTTAAAAAGGAAGTTCTCTAGTAAATTGAGTCTAGTAAATCCTGTCTGATTCTTGTATCAGACTTTTTTTTTTTTTTTTGGTGCTGGGGACTGAACCCAGGGCCTTGTGTATGCAAGGCAAGCACTCTACCAACTGAGCTATATCCCCAGCCCACCCTCAGACTTAATTTTTGCCAACCTGGTGCCCCCACGGTATCTCTTTGTTGTAGTAATGTGTATTTCCATTATATTTTAAAAATATTTTTAGTTGTAGATGGACACAATATCTTTATTTTATTTATTTATTTTTATGTGGTGCTGAAGATGGATCCCAGTGCCTCACACATGTGAGATAAGCACTCTACCACTGAGCTCCAACCCCAGCCCTCCATTTTTTTAAAACATTTTAAAAATAGTTGTAGTTGGATGCAATACCTTTATTTTATTTATTTGTTTTTATGTACTGCTGAGAATAGAACCAGTGCCTTACACGTGCTGAGAATTGAACTCACTGCCTGACACATGCTAGGTAAGCGCTGTACCACTAAGCCAAAATGCCAGCCCTTTTTGTACAAGTTTCTAAGCATTTCTTTAATATTTAAGTCTTAATGCATTTGATATATATTGCATGTGTATAAGTATGAGATATAAACCCAATAGTATTTGTTTTGATATGTGGATAAGGAATTTTCCCATCTCCATTCAGTGACCTGCAGTGCCACAGCTGTTGTTCCAAATGTGTTCAACTTGTACAAACTCTAAACTGTCTTAATCTCTCTAGACTTTAGTAACACAGGACATCTGCTTGGAGTCATTCTCCAAATTCTTCTTTAAAAGGGTCTTGGCCACCCTTAATCATTTGCTTTTCCATTTATAGTTAGGGAAAGATTTTTAAATGACAGGTTCAATTGTTAGCTATAAGATTGATCTGAATTTCTATTTCTTATTATGTTGTTTAGTAAGTTAAGTTTTTCTAGGAATTTTTCCATTGAGTCTAAATCTTCAGACCTATTAAAAAAATTTTTTTTGTAGTTGTAAATGGACAGAATACCTTTATTTTATTATTTTTATGTGTTTTAAGGATCAAACCCAGTGCTTCACATGTGTTAGGCAAGCGCTCTGCCATTGAGCCACCACCCAGCCCTCGTCAAACCTATTGACATAATAGTTCTCCCAATTTCCCAGAAGCTTCTTTAAAATGTGGATTTTATTTGTCTAAATGTATTCTATATTCAATCTCTTAATCCTAAAATGCATAGAAAGGCAATAATTGACATCCACAATTTATTTGCCAAAACACCTCAATTTGATCACTAAGCTCTCAGCATTTAGAGGAGGTTGAAAAATACTATAATATGAAACAGGTTGGTCCCACACTGACCACAGGTGAAGCCTTGAATCGCCACAGCATGTGGAGCAAGGCTGGAATATGAGCCGTCTGCTCATAGGGAATCTGGTTCACTGTATTTTGGGACCTGGGGGATCAGGTCCGTCCACACGACCTCACGAGGCTGGGCTGTCTCAGCCCCATTGTCCAGTCTGCAGAGGCCTGACCTTTTGCCCCTGTCTTTATGGGGTCTTTTGTAGAAACGTCTGGTGTGCTGTGTGCTTAGAGAAGGACATCAATGCTCCCTCCTGCAACTTTCTTTTAATGATGGTAAAATAGAAGTGATATAAAATTTATCATTTTAGCAATTAAAAAAGAATACAGTTCAGTGGCATTATACATCATCGGACTGCTGTTACTTCCATCTGTGTGTAGAACTTTCTCTCTCCAACTGAAAATCCGCACCCATTAAACACTAACTCCCCATTTTCTCCTCCTCCGGCCTCTGGGGACCACCATTCTATGTGCTACTGTGATTAAACACAGGGCACTCTACCACTTAACATACCCCCAGACCTTTTTATTTTTTATTTTGAGAAAGGGTCTCACTAAGTTGTCCAGTCTGGTCTCAAACTTGAAATCCTCCTACCTCAGCCTCCTGAGTCACCAGGATTACAGGTGTGCACGTCCATGCCTGGCTGCACTCTGTCTCTATGAATTTGACTACCCTAGGCATCTAAGTGGAATATATAGTAATTGTCCTTTTGCATCAGGCTTATTCTAGTAAACATAATTCCTTAAGGTTCACCCATGTTGTAGCATGTGTCAGAATTTCATTCCTTTTTAAGGCTGAATAATATTCCTTTGTATGGATTGACCACATTATGTTTACCTATTCATCTGTCAATGGACACTTGAGCTGTTTCTACCTTTAGCTATTGTTAATAACGCTAGTATGAATGAAAATGGGTGTGCAAATGCCTGTTCAGGTCCCTTCTTCCCGTTCTTTTGGGAATAAGGAGAAGAATATGGAGAAGTCTTGAATGTTTTTGGTAGTCCTGTCGGAGGCACCCAGGGTCTTGCACATGCTGAGCATGTGCTCTATCCCCCAGCCAATCCCTCCTCAGACTTTAAACCATTCTGTTAAGCCAAGGAATGAACTATCACTTATTTAGAACATCGCTTGGTATATTATGAAGCGTTTCCTCCTGTTGAGTGTGTGACACCTGGAGGGCTATTTTTGAGGAGCATGGTCATGGCCAGCCTTTATGGGATTCTGGATTTCTTCTAGATTCTGGTGAAAACCATGGGCTATAGTCTCAGAGAGGTGCACGCACAGCTTTGGGCATCTATTCTGGGGGAGCTCAGATTCCCCGAGGCTCGTGGTGATTGTGGCTTCTAGATTAAAGCCTCTGTATAAGAGAGCAAAATGTAAGTTAGGAGGGGAAATGGATTTGAGACGGACATTTTACTTCCTGGTAGTTCATTTAGGAGCATGAACACGGCCGTGGGGCGCCCTCTGCTTCTCCACGCGCAGGCTCCAGCCCTTGCTTCGCCCGGGGAGGACATTGGAGCCCCTTTACTTCCAGCTGTCAACAGAGCCATGCAATTTCTTAGTATTTTTCTGATTCCAGTTGCTTCCCCCCACCCCCACTATGGTGGCCTCCAGTGGATAAGAGAAAAGAGCAACATTTAGGTTTATTTTTTGTTTATTATTAAAGTGAATTTCACAAACATTTATTACATGCGTATGAGAGAATAGGGTGGAGAAAACACAGCTTTGAATACTTGAGGCAACTAAAAGGACACGGTGGCTGTGACGGTATCTGTCACCCTCACAGTGGATTGTTACCAAGGGCCTGTCCTGGAAGGCACCTTCACAGGCTCAAGGAGAAGGAATGGGCAGAGTGCAGCCATCTGTGGCCTGTCTGCGGAGCGCTGTGACCTGGCTGCTCAGTGCCTGGGCCTCCCTGCAGGTGTCCTTGGCCTTCAGACTGAAACGACCTCCTCCTGGCCAGTCGTTCTCTCCTCCTGCTCTGTACAGGGCTCTGCTGAGGCACAGTGGTGCCCTCCTGAGCCACCTGGGGACTCCAGGTCTGCCACTGCCTCCCTGAGAGCAGGATGGGCACCTGTGGCAGGTTAGGGCATGGTGCCAACTTGTGTCTGAATGGTGAGTGCCTGTCCCCTTCCCTAGAGGAGACGAAGTCTGGCCTCTCTCTGAGTGAGTGCTCAGTGCTTGGTAAGAAGGGAGGGAACTGAGGTCAAGGTTACCCTGCCTGCTTGTGCTATCCTCTCCACCCTTCGTGTCCCCAACTCGCTGCTGCCTGGCTGACTCAGCTGAGGTTCCAATCTGTAAAATTCAGCTCAGCCAACACACACACATTGGGAATCGAACTCAGGGGCATTCGATCACTGAGGCACATCCCCAGCCCTATTTTGTATTTTATTTAGAGACAGGGTCTCACTGAGTTGCTTAATGCCTTGCTTTGAACTCGTGATCCTCCTGTCTCAGCCTCTCGAGCTGCTGGGATTACAGGCGTGCGCCACTGCACCCGGCTCAGCCAACATTTTGCAGAGACATTTCCTGCACTGCTTCCATAGGCTTGGGTTTGACTTCCAGCTGTATAAACCTCTGACTCTTCATCTTGGGTGTGTCACTTGGTCTCCCAGAGTCCTAATGTCCCACACCAAGGAACAGGTTGCGCCCTGCCAACCTTGCAGGGCTGAAGGGATAGTCTCTGTAGAAGGAAGAGCGTTGGGCTCAGCATCTGGATGTAGGAGCCCCTGAGTGAAAGTTCACTGTGCCCCCATCATTTCTTCCGGTTGAGGCTGGGTGTACAGATGATTTCAAAGGACCCGTGCAGGAGCTGCCACGCTGGTGTGGGGGGCTGTGGGGAAGCAGGGTCTGCTCTACAGGGGCTGCTTGGGCAGGGTGCTGGGAGGCGGCGCAGGCCACACCCAAGCAGCTAGGCTCTGAGGATGACCTCCACACCTGCCTTTCCAAGAGACCACTTGCTGGTTTCAAAGTGTTCCAGGCATTTTCTAAGTCCTCTGGCCTTTGCTCTGAATGACCTCAGTTGGGTGTTGTCACCTTGGTTGGAAGGGCTGAGCTGCCACCATGAGTGTCTTTGGTGAAGCTAAGGGGTCTTGCTATAAAATGCAGTTTGCCAGGCTGATCAAACTTTCCAGGTGGAGGTGTGGTATCTGGTGCCCCTGGGAGAAAAGAAAGTCCCCTCTCTCTGCAGGTCAGGACTGTGTGGGCGAGGCCAGTGGTGACGTGGGGTAGAGACATCCAGGCGGGCTGCCGCCCCTGCGTCTGTGGCAGCGCTCTGGCTCCCTGTCTTCCTAGGAGCCCAGCACACAGCAGGTGCTCAGGCAGTGCTTGCCACAGGACCCAGCTTACTCATACCTGGTTTGTGCTGGACAGGTGGAGACACTGGAGTTTACTTGTCTCCTCGAGTGTCACTGACCACCCACTGGTACTCTGGCTCCTACAGTCCGCACTTTCTGTCCGAGTGGCAGAGCTTTTGCTTCCAGAAGCTGTTTGTGGGTCCTATTCCTTGGAAGCACAGGGGACAGTGTGGCTGTTGAGAATTTACTAAATGGCCTCTGAAGCAGGATCTGAGGTTGCTCAAGGCCAGAGTCCAGGCATGGGCCGTGCTGGCTTCTCCACGACAGTGGGGAGGATCCGCACCCTGTCCTTGGCTTCCACCCTACTTCAGGCCTTAGCGCATACGTCTGCCCTGCCTGGGCCCAGTCCTCGTGCCCACGTCTCCCCTGTACCTCCACCATGAAGCAAGGGCAGCGGTCGCCATGTAGCCGATCTGCCTCTGGCTGCAACATGTGAACTCAAGGAGATGGGCCTGGCATCCTGGAAGGTCCCCTGGGAGTACCAGGCCCTGAGGACCAGGGTTGGCTTTGGGTTTAACAGCTGGGACCCAGAGTTTCCTAGGGTGAGGCTGGCGTAGAGAGACAGGACAGACCCTACTTGGACTTCAAGACATCCAGATGGCGAAGGGTGGCAGTGAGAGGGAGCCAGGGTGGTGGCCTGTGAGGGCAGCTAGTGAACTGGGGCTGCTGACTACCTGGTCCTCAAGTCCTCTTTTGTGGGATGAGAGCTAAAAAATGGGCTTGACAATAAGAGAAGAAAGAGGGTTCTATATTGCCCCTGTCCTGCTCTGCCCTGGGGTCACTGGGCATGATGTGGCCACAGTGGCAGTGAGAGCCATGGAACATGAGAGGATGTGGGGGGCAGCCTAGTGGGCATGTGGGAGGCTTCTTTCTGGAAACCAAGGCTGATCAGGGACGGTGGCCAGCCAGGGGTGGTGCAGTCCCCAGAGGGCTGGTCAGTTGACCCTGACCTGTCTGCTGCTCTCCACAAACCCGAGCTGGACTTGAGGAGAGATGGCACCGAAAGCAGGGTCAGTACAGCTGGGCACCCAGCTCTGCAGCGTGGGTAAGGGCCACTCACACCTGCATCCCAAACCTTGTTGTGGCCTGGAGGAGGGGCCATGCCCTGCTGCCTGTCTCTGTGACTCTGCATCTACAGGAAGAACTCAGGGGATCTGAAGAGCTCTTTCTTGTTCTCTCTGGTTTTTGAGAGAATTAAAGGAGGAAACCCTTTAAGAAGTGCAGTGGTTAATTTTATGTGGCAACTTGCCTGTGCTAGGTTGATTCCAGATAACCATAAGTGCTCTTGGTGGTCTGACTGTTGGGTGTAACCAGAAGAGATCAGCCTATTATCAGAGGGCTGAGCCAATCAGGCCCTGTCCAGTGTGGGTGGCATTTGCTGATGGTCCCAGGGCTCCAACAGGACAAAGAGGTGGGGGAAGGGCACATTTGCTTTCTTGGAGCTGGGTGTCCTTCTTCTTTGGTCCCCAACATTGGTGCTCCTGGTTCTTGGGCCTCGGACTCCAGGACTGCCCCTGCTCACAGCTTCTCAGGCTTTGTGCTCACCCTGCATCCCACCGAGGGCTCTCTTGGCACTCTGGCTTGCAGAGAGCACCTCACGGAACTTTGAGGCCACCTCCATGATCTCTGGTCTCCCATAATAATGTCCATGTGCACACGCTGTTGGTCCCATTTTCCTAGAGAACCCCAATAAAGAGGACAGACCCTTCTCTGTGCCCTTCCTAGGGCATCTGTCTCTCACTTCTGGGGGTGACTGATGGCCTGACAAAGGGAGGGAGGCTTCTTTCTGGAAACCAAGGCTGATCTGCAGGGACGGTGGCCAGCCAGGGGTGGTGCAGGCCCCAGCAGTGCTGTTGACCCTGACCTGTCTGCTGCTCTCCAAAAACCCGAGCTGGACTTGAGAGATGGCACCGAAAGCAGGGTCAGTACAGCTGGGCACCCAGCTCTGCAGCGAGGGTAAGGGCCACTCACGCCTGCATCCCAAGCCCTGTTATGGCCTGGAGGAGGGGCCGTGTCCTGCTTCCTGTCACCAACCATGGATCTTGAGACTTTGCTTGCTGGCCTGTGTGTCCACAGTCCTATGTTTCACGTGTGTTTCTCAAACTGCTCACCTCTCACCCACCAGGCTGGGCTGGGGATCAGGAGACCTGAGGCCACTTGGCATTGGTGGTTGGAGTTCATTGTAAGATGCTCCCATGTTCCTGGGAATTTTAAAGTTTGTTAACCTGAATAATATAGAACATTCCCTCTGCTCGTCCTCTTGCTGGCAGCAGGCGGTCTGAGGCTTCGCAGACCCTGGGTGCGCGAGGTCTCAGCTGGCACCATCCTGGGCTCTGGCTTCCTGGCTGGTGGGACAAAGGCAGCCTTGAGGAGACTCTGAGAGGGAGGCGGCAGGCCCATGGGGAAGCTGCACTGAAGCCAGGCCTTGTGACCCAGGCCACCTCTGCCTCAGGCCGCCTCTGCCTCTGGGCCACCTCCTCTTGGGTAGGCCTCAGGCCTCACAGCCTTATTTCTTGGTGACATGTAGGCACACTTCAGACCCCAAGGTCATAGCCACAGGCCCCTTCCTAAGTTTAAGGCTGGATATTTACACCCCTTATTCAGGGGCCCAAAGGGAGGCTGCCTTCCACTGTGTCCTGAGGGCAGTGATATCACTGTGAAGGGACTGGGACAGGGCCAACCCTCCAACCCAGCATGGGAGCTCAGTTCCCTAAGTTCATATTCACAAGGTGTCCAGGGCCAGCCCATGCTGCACCTGCCCGGCAGCTCCTGTCTCCCACACAGGGGGTGAGTGCTGGGGGGACAGTAGTGGCACCGAGTGTTTACAGCTGCTGAAGAGAGCACCCCTACAGTGCCCACAAATAGAAGTGTGTGTATATATATATAGATATATATTTGTATTTATATTTATACATATGTATATAGCACTTCATCAGCCGTTCTAGCAGGGCTGGCGAAGACCTCCACTCCTCCCTCAGCAGCTCTCTTCCATCTGTCACAGAGTCCTCAGAGCCCAGTGACATGGCACCATGTCCTGCAATCCTGGCTGGAGGAGTTGGCAGTGTAGTAGCCGTACAAGTGCCGACACAGGCTTGTCACCTCAGAGATGGTGCCTCCACATGTCCTTCCTTCTCTGCTGGCTTCCTGTGGGTGACAGGGGCCAAGCTCACAGAGCCTCCGGGAGGGTGCCACTCTCCTCTTTCCCACAGCATCAGGCAGAAGCGCATGCTCTCTGGTGCCCTCGGCGTGTCCTGGCCAGGCAGCGTGCGCCAGAGCCGGCTCAGGGGAAGCACTACTGGTGTCTGGGGATGAGAGGCAAAGGGCAAAAGGCTTTAGAAGCAGTGTCCCATGGGGGCCCAGCTCAGCCTTGGCCCTCCAGGGGCTGGTGGCCTTCCTGAAGTGCACGTATCATGGGCTTCCCCAGGCAACGAGGTGGCCCACAGAGCTGCCTTTCAGCCCCACGACAGAGGGAAGGAGCTCTTCTTCCTTGGCTCCCTGGCCATCCCCGAGCAGGACAGCTCTGAGTGTTATTTGTAGGGCCGCAGGAATCGGGACACTTTGGAACGTAGCAGTTTGATGAAGGACCGGGGGAACATCTCCTTGGATTCCTGGGCTGTGTACTTGAAGTAGTTCTGCGGGTGTGCCAGCACGTCGAAGAGAGCCTTGATCAGCTTCTTGTCCTGCAAGACATGGCGAGATGAGGTGGGTGAGGTGGGGCCAGGGCATTCCACTGGGGGCCTGGAAGGGATGGGGAGCAGGGTTTCAGGATCCCCCAAATCTCTTTACTACAGATAGTCCTTTGGGTTTAACAGTGTAATTGTATTTTTTTTCCTTTCCTTTTAACATTTGTTTTTATATTTATTTAGTTACAGTTGGACACAATAACCTTGTTTTATTTATTTATATATGGTGCTGAGAATAGAACCCAGGGCCTTGCACGTGCTAAGCAAGTGCTGTACCGCTGAGCCACAACCTCAGCCCATCCTTTTTACATTTTTTAATAGTTTTTTTGTGGTGCTGGAGAGGGAATCTGGGCC